TGATGAGAGGGTGAAAGGGGATTTAATGTCCTTTCAGCCCTACAAATCTCCGGGCCTTGACGGAATCTTTCCCGCTCAACTACAGGAAGTGACGGACATACTGTGCCGCCTGCTTTCTCAGATTTTTACAGCCTGCCTAACCCTGACTCACATACCACATGAGTGGACAAAGGCAAAAGCTGTATTCATAGCAAAAGGAGGCAATGTGAAACCGAAGGATTTTAGGCCCATAAGCCTCACTTCATTCTTTCTTAAAACTCGACGGAATATAAAAACTGTTTACCTCTTCCCGAACCAGCATGCATGTTCCAAGGGAAAATCCATGGATACCGCACTCCACGAAATCGTATCGACGATTGAAAAAGGATTGGACTTAAAGGAGTTTTTCTCGATATCGAGGGTGCTTTCAACAATGTCTACCCGAAGTTTGTTGTTAACTCCCTTCTTATGGCGGGGGTGCAGCGGGGTCTGGTGGATTTTTTTGGGCTCCTTCTCGAAAAGAGAATTATTTTATCAGAACTGGGGGATGACTCCATTACAAAGTATATGACTAGAGGCACCCTCCAAGGTGGCGTTTTCTCCCCTCTACTCTGGAATGTAACAAGGAACACCCTACTTGTAAGCCTAAAGGGCACCGGTTGTCAAGTCATAGCGTACGCTCATGACATAGCAATCGTGGTAACGGGCAAACATCTTCAGGTCCTGAGGGAGTTATTGCAAAACGCACTCGATCTCTCGATAATTTGAACTTAGCGTCAATCCTACCAAGACAGAAATGGTACTTTTCACAAGGAAGTACAATACTCCCTTATTCAAACCTCCTACCCTAAACGGGGTGGAACTTACTCTCCTAACTGAGGTAAAATACCATGGAATTATTCTAGACAAGAAACTTGACTGGAAGCGAAACATTGAAGACCGCTCCAGAAAGGCCAATACCGCCCTTTATGCCTGTAAGACGGCTATAGGCAAAAAATGGTGAATATAACCACGCACAGTACACTGGTTGTACACAGCTGTGATAGACCCATCGTTTTCTACGGGATCACCGTATGGTGGCCTGCGCTAAACAATACTTTGTCCAGAGGCAAGGTGAGACGGGTGCAGAAGACGGCTGCCATGCTAGTCACGGGAGCACTGCCCACTACGCCTACCAAATCTCTGGAAATAATGATAAATCTTCCACCTGTGGATCTCTACTGAAAATTTCGGGCCGGCTGCAGTGCGGCCAGGTTAAATACAATCCAGCCGAGGACAGACCTTAGTTTCGGACACGCAAAAGTACTTCAAACTCTACCGGATAATCTACGACAGATAGATTATACCACTCCTCTAATCTGTTTAGACAACAAATTCTCCACAAGAATCCCAAAGAGAAACGAATGGGAAGGGGCCACAGACCTGAACCCAGGGTCAACGGTCATATATACAGATGGTCCCAAGCTTAACAAAAGAGTGGGTAGCGGGAGCTACTCTGACGAGCTCGCGCGAAACCTCAGTTTTCGCTTACCATTGTAGTGTTTTTCAAGCAGAGTTAAACGCCATAATGGAGGAGGCTCGGTGGTTCATAACCTACGCCCCTGCTGAACGGCCTATTGCTATCTATTTTGACAGCCAGGCTGCTATCAAATCTCCCAATTCTAACGGAACAATGTCCAAAGTAGCCATAGAATGCAGGAAGATTCTCAACCTGCCGGCATGAAAATGCTCCTCGACTGTTGTATGGGTCCCTGGACATAGGGACATTCCTGGCAACTGCCTAATGGACGAGCTGGCAAGGAGGGGGACGGAGATATCTGAAGTTAATTCTACTCAGAATGGGGGCATACTTCTAACCTCCTGAAAACACAGCCTAAATGCGGTACTCGTCGAGGAGGTAAATATCAGGTGGGCTGTGGAAACCATCTGCCACACTACCAGGAAAATGGGGCCAAAGATTGATGTGAAGCGATCCATAACTCCTTCCCGGCTGGACTGCTCCTCTTAGATTAGTAGTCGTGGTAATCACCCGACACTGCCTGATGGGCACACACGGAAAAAGGCTAGGATACCCCACCAACGATTTCTGTCGCAGTTTCAGGGACGAGGAAGAGATGGATACCGTCAAACACTATCTCTGCCATTGTCCCGCCTTGGCCAAGACGCGCAACCGATTCTTCAACAAGTACTTTCTAGATTGTTTAGCCGATGTGAACTCGGCGAACGTCCTCGAATTTTGTTCTATATAAAACGCTCTTGGTGGACCAACTACTAAGGAAGGGAAAGAAATAAATGGTTTCGGCTAGTGGTATCACAACGGGCTTTTCCAGCCCACGTGCGCTCCGCGCTCTGCCAATACTTCGGCCTAGAGCGAAGCTAAGCCAAAAATAAGGATCTGAAGGAGACATAATCCGAAGTCTTGGGAGAATATGATACACTGCAACACATGGAACTTGCAACACCCCAGGAAATCATTGAAAATGGAAAGTACTTCTCTTTCTACCTTCCACACCACGCAGTCTTACGCTCAGAAAGTAAAACCACAAAGGTAAGAGTGGTTTTTAATGCATCAAAGTCCTCCAGTTCAGGTCACTCTCTAAATGCCGTGCTCTACACTGGCTCCACTCTTCAGCCCGATTTATTGCTGCTAATACTAAACTGGATACTCTATAAGTTTGTGTTTAATAGCGGCATTGAAAAAATGTAGCGCCAAATGCGAGTCCACGAAAACGACCGCGATTTTCAAAGAATCGCTCTTCGAAAGACCTGCGAAGACCAAATAAGTGACTTCAGACTTAAAACAGTGAATTTGAACTTAAACTGCGCTTCTTACCTTGTTAAACGAACACTCCATCAAGTTGCTCAAGAGTCTTCGCACAAATTCCAATTATGCGAAAAAATTTCAAAGCAGGAAACATACATTGATGATATATTTTCTGGAGTACATGATACAGAAACTGCAGAGAACACTTTAATCCAATTTTTCCAAGCTCTAAACTCAGCAGGATTTTCCCTAAAGAAAATTACCGCAAACAGCGCCAAACTACTCAAAAAATGCCCAAAGAAAACCTCTTGGATTCGAATTTCCCAAAATTAGACGCTTTTAGCACCACAAGGACTTTAGGAATTCGATGGAATGCAGCTTCCGGCTCATTCTCCTATACATTCAGCAACAAAGCGGTAAATCCTCTCGACAGTTGCCAAACTGTTTGACCCGGCAGGATGGCTATCGCCTATAATGATTAGAGGAAAAATCCTCCTGCAGACACTTTGGAAAGCGGGAAATGACTGAGACGAATGTGCCAGGCCCAATTTGCATAATATGTGGTGCAAATTTGTTGAAAACCTATGCGAAGTTGGAAAGATAGAAGCTCCCCGTTGCATAGGATTCTCACCCACTTATAACATCCTAATTCATGGATTTTGCGATGCGTCACATGAGGCATATTTATTTATTTATTTATTTTTGTCTACGAATTTACAATTCTTACAGACTAAGCATAGGTAAATTTAAAAGTAATGTTAATTACAATACAAAAAGCAGTCTTTAAATAGTACTATTTTTACTTAATAATGTTTTTACTTGGGAACTAAAGCCAAATTTAATGGATGAGAGGTCGAGGTCCAAAGAAACAAAGAGCTTATTCAATTCGACGAGAGTTCTATTAACCGGGGCATTGAAGCTATAAGTGAATACCATACTTTGTTAAAGCTATTTCCACACAATCACACACAATTCCACCGGCAAAACGCTCGCATATTTTGGGATCATATTGCAACCAAAAATGCAATTGCGCTGCACGCGCATCCGCCGTCATAGCTAAGGAAATTAAACACCTTAGTTGAGCGAAAAACGCGCAACTAACAAACCAAACACTTCAGGTGAGGGAAACACGCGCAATCCCCATTCTACTGACCAGGCATCTTTGGTCACGTAGGCCTGCTCAGGCTTAGGTTAGTTTGTAAGCGGTAGCTTAAAGATAAGTTAGTCTTGAACTCACTCGCGAGCTAAAGGCACATAGTGCCGCCTAACAGAGTTCGGAATAAATAAAGATTAAAACTTAAACTTAAGTCTCGCGTTTTATTTGGCGCCCGAAGTAAGGGACCGCGCGAAAAAGTGACGCGGACAAATGAAAGAAATATAATAATAAATAAAACATACTATTGGAACAGGCCCCTTAGTAGCGAGGAAAATTTTTATCCTCGCAAAAAGGATGGACCGTATAGTCCAGCCTACCAATAGCAAACAATTAGAAGAAATCATAAAAAATATAAAGCAAAAAGTTATAAACAGCAGTTAAGGAAAATCGTCAAAAAATATTGCTCAATATTATACATGATTAGTTGGCATCCCTATTGTATTTCATTGTTCAATATAAATAGTTATCGATTTTGTAATATTTTTTACCATCTCTAATAAAAGAAAGGACCTCATGTTTTTTTTTGGTTTTTGGATAACCTCAACGTACAACGACTTTGCTACATATTTTGGTGCCTCCTGTGAGGACTTGAGAATTTTTTTTTTATCGACATGGCGGAGCTGAATTTACGACTGGCTGCAGGCAATGCAATTGAAAAGGCTGCAGAAAGAATTCGACTTAATTTCGCGAATTGGGACAAGTGTCAGCTGGAGCAGGAGCTGACTGCACTCCGCTCACATTTTGCAAAGTTTGAGGTTAACCACGATAAACTAGTTAGCAATGCCACGGCTGAGGAATTGGCTCTACACGAGGCCCTATTGCAAAAGGTAGAAGTCCTCTACAATGATGCAGTGATACTCATCTCTCGGCAACTAAAGGCAAACTCTCATGTGAAGCCCACAACATCACTAGAGACTACGGAACACTCAGCGTTTGGGTTAAAATTGGAAGGCCTTGAATAACAGGTACAACAGCAGACGGCACCTGGCCGAAATCCATGTCACCCGGTTTCTGCGCCTGCAATCCGCATCCGACGATAAACAAAAGGCGCTATTGGTTCCAGTGGACAGCGTGCGTGAGTCGTTCCGGGCTTTGGAAGTCATGAAGCTGCCCGTGAGTTCTTGGGATGCTATTATGGTACCTATAGTGCTCTCGAAAATTCCAACCACCGTTCAACGCCACTGGAATCTGAGCTTGTCAACATCGGAGATTCCTAACTTGGAGGAATTGCTGAAATTTTTGGAAAGGCGTGCGCATAGACTTGCCTGTGATTCGGTTGCTGCTATTGTCCCTCGAAAGATCGGGACCGCCCTGCCGGATGGACGCAAAGGGAATCGCTCGTTACAAACCCATCTCGCCAAGGCTGGAGAAGGGACATGTGTTAAGTGTGTGGGAGAACATCGTATCATGCGCTGTCGTGCATTACTAGAGCTGGGACCGGAGGAGCGCTTCAAGGCACTGAAAGCTACCGACTTGTGCTTCAATTGCTTGAAGAGGGGTCACATGACCCGTCAATGCCCTTCAGGTGGATGTAAACGTTGCGGCCGAAGGCACAATACTTTATTTTGCCGTGAAGACCCATCCAACTCATCCGTCGGGGCACCAAAGCGCGACTCTTTAAAGGGTAAACCATTAGTTTCATGCTTGACTTACGGTCATCCTACGGTACTGTTAGCAACGGTCTGTGCTTATGCTATTGGAGACTCGCATCAACGTCGCCTTGCACGAATTCTCTGCGATCCAGGTTCGCAGGCAAGCTTCATAACTGAGAGATTAGCAAATCAATTACAACTACGCAGGTTCAGACATAATGTAGCAGTAGAAGGTATCGGGGCATCGAACCATACGCGTACTTCAGGTAGTGCGCAACTCACTTTGAAATCTCACCTTTCGAACTTTGCGATCAACCTGAATGTTCTGATTATTCCTTCAATCACCTCGCCAACGCCAGGGGTTCATATTGTTACTTCTGGATGGACCCATTTGCACGGACTTCCGCTTTCGGATCCTCACTTCGGTACTCCAGCCCCTGTCGATATTCTCCTCGGAGCGGATGTTTGGGACATCATTGTGGAGGCAGGCATTATCAGTGGTAAGGCGAATCAGCCGCATGCCCGATCCACTCGTTTTGGTTGGGTGGTATTTGGCCCAGCTACCGAAGCAAATTTGACTGAATCACCTTTCCAATCACTCCACGCGCAAATCGATGAGTCTGAAACGCCGTTGGATGAGCTCGTTCACAAATTTTGGCAGTGGGAGGAACTTCCTTCTTTGGCGCATAGTGTCAACACCAGCGAATGTGAACGCATTTTTGCCGCGACACATTCCCGCAATAGTGAAGGGCGATATGTGGTCCACTTACCGTTCCGCAGCACATTAGCGTCTCTGGGTGATTCCCATACATATGCACTACAGCAATTCCTACGGATAGAAAAAATACTGGCATCCAATGAGGATCTGCGTTCGAAGTACGTAGATTTTATGCGTGAATATTCAGCTTTAGCACACATGGAGCCCGTAACAACACATCCTTCGACAGCGTACTACATCCCTCATTATGCTGTGTTGGGAAAATTTAGGGGGGTTTTTAACGCCTCGGCCCGGACTTCCAGTGGGGTATCCTTAAATGATATTCAAATGGTTGGACCTCAAATTCAAGAGCCTTTGCTTAATATTTTGTTTCGGTTTCGACGACATCGGGTGGCGCTGACGGCGGATATTGAGAAAATATTTCGGCAGGTACTTGTCACTGCTCCGCACCGCAACTATCAGCGTATTTTGTGGCGTGAACGTCCAGTCGAGCCGATTGGAATATACCAGCTGACTACCGTTACGTATGGTATGGCATGTAGCCCGTTTAACGCTTTACGCGCACTCCATCAATGCGCTAATGACAATCAAGCCCTCGTAGTAGATCCCCGACGGGCTGCAGAAGCTCAGAACATAATACTTTCCTCCTTCTATGTTGACGACTTCCTGTGATACTTGTGACGAATCCCTGACGGTTGCCCGAAATGTGGATACCATATTATCTGCCGGAAAGTTCAGGTTAAGGAAGTGGAACTCCAATTACGCTGAGGTGCTGCATACGTTGAACGAGCCAGAGAAGCCAACACCGGACTTGAACATTGGACCTCCGGACTTAACGGTACTTGGATTGCGATGGGATCCATCTTCTGATCAACTGTTTTTTAGGCTCAACTTTTCTTCGTTGTCAGGTCCAACAAGCAAACGGCGTGCTCTTAGCGAAGTGGCACGACTATTCAACCCAACCGGCTTAATCGCACCAGTTATGGTCATGGGAAAGATTTTTATTCAGACCCTCTGAAAGACCGACCTCAGCTGGGATTCTCCACTACCTGAAAATTTGTGTGAAGAATGGTTGCGTTACCGATCGAGCTGGCTAAAGATGTCACCCAATGATATGGTCGAGATTCACGGGTTCGAAGATGCCAGTACACGGGCGTATGCAGCAGTGATCTATGTCAAAACAACATCATTGGATGGCTGCTCTACTGTGTCACGTTTGACGGCGCGCACAAAGGTTGCACCATTGCGAGGGGCAACAATACCTCGCTTGGAACTCAGCGCGGCGTATCTACTTGGTGAGACGTTCTACAACATTCGCCAAGCGCTGATATTTGGAGATGTGACGTACTACATGTGGTCGGCCTCCACTGTTGCGTTGGCATGGATTCACAAGTCACCATCAACTTTAAAGCCATTCGTTTCGAAACGAGTAAGCAGGATTCAGGAGTTTACTGAGCCGGGCAGGTGGTTCCATGTACGCTCTGACAACCAGCTGATTGCGCCAGCCGAGGTATGTTGGTTCGCGAACTGCAAGATCATGATTTGTGGTGGAAGGGACCACAATTCCTTCGTATAATTCGGAATGTTGGAGATAACCCTGTTGTGCCGACGCTTGAAGAGATGGCCGTCGTACAAGAGGAAGAAAGGGTTGCGACTTTGCTGGTTGGCATATCCAATCCGCCCCGGCTCACAACTCGCCGAATCGATGGACAGCTCATTCTGCTAACAGAGCGGTATAGCTCCTTACAACGTCTTCTGCATACAGTTATATACGCCCTTCGTTGGCTGCCTAAGTTCAAATGTTATAGACGTCATCCGATCCGCGCAGAGGAAATCGAAGAGGCGCTTTTCAGGTTATTGTTATTGGAGCAAGGTAATCATTTTTCGCAAGAAATTAACCATCTGAAGATTCATTCCAGGATACCGAGGGGAAGCCCTTTGAGCCCTTTGAACCCGCACTCGGATGACCGCGGTATTTTAAGAGTAGGTGGTAGAATTCGGCGGTCGAATTTGCCCTATGAGTCAAGGTTTCCGATCATCGTACCTAAGAAAAGTGCACTCGTTATTTTATTGATCCGTGATGCACATGTCACGACACTCCACGGAGGTGTACAATTGACCCTACAGTTCTTGCGGCATCGTTACTGGATTCGCTAAGCACGACAAGCGGTTCGTACTTATCTACATCGTTGTACTATATGTCGTCGACATAAAGGAGTTACTATGGTGCAGCAGATGGCGGCTTTACCCGGGCAGCGTATTCAAGCCGCACGCCCTTTCTCGAAGTCTGGAGAGGACTATTGTGGACCTTTTACACTTCGCACTGGCACAAAACGTTCACGCACTACTGTGAAGTCTTACCTGGCGCTTTTTGTATGTATGGTTACGAAGGCTGTGCACATAGAGGTGGTAGACGATTTCTCCTCGAAATCATTCCTCGTGTATGGACCTATACAGTGACAATGGTACCGCATTCGTTGGAGCCAACCGAATACTGAAGGAAGATCTCGCAGAGTGGCACAATGACTACGTCCAGCAGGTTATTGCTCACCTGGGAACGAGATGGCATTTCATTACCCCAAGTGCGGCACACCAAGGTGGGTTATGGGAGGCTTCTGTGAAATCTGCCAAACGTCACTTGTCTAAGGTAGTTGGGGCGCAAACCCTGTGGCCAAATCAGCTTCATACTCTAGCCGTGAAAATTGAAGCGTGCCTTAACTCTCGGCCACTTTACCCACTAACGGATGACCCCGAGGATCAATATGCGCTAACTCCAGCACATTTTTTAATAGGGGAACCTATTATAGCTGTACCCGAACCAGACCTTATCGACGTGCCACCTAATCGGCTAAAGCAGTGGCAATGGCTACGACAGCTACATCAAAATTTTGGCAGCGGTGGAGTGCAGAATACTTGACAACTCTGCAGCGTCGATCAAAATGGTGTTCAAAGGAAGAAAACATCCGACTGGGCGATGTCGTTCTTGTGAAGAGAGAGGCACTGCCTCCGACATGCTGGAGATTCAGACGAGTGGTGGAAGTACATCCCGGGATGACGGCTGACGGATTGATTCGCCACGTCACACTAAGGACAGCAAGTGGGCTGTGCACCCGTGCAATTCAGAAGCTCGTTCGGCTTGTAGATTTCGAACCGAATGGTTCGACCGGGCAGGATGTTCAATATTATACATGATTAGTTGACATCCCTATTGTATTTCATTGTTCAATATAAATAGTTATCGATACAGTGACTTTAAAAAGATATAAAATTAATAAATAAAGCAATCATGTTGACCCCCTTCATCTTTACAACAAAAAATAGAAAGCAAAAAATAGTAACACAAAAAAAGTTATAAACAATTATAAACAGTTAAGCTCTAAGTGACTTTGGTAAAAAAAGGAAAAAAAATATACAATAAAATAAATAAATAAAAGCAATCATCTTTACCCCCATCATCTTTACAACAAAAAATAGAAAGCAAAAAATAGCAACACAAAAAAAGTTGTAAACAATTATAAACAGTTAAGCTCTAAGTGACTTTGGTAAAAAAGGGGAAAAAATATAAATTAAAATAAATAAATAAAAGCAATCTCCTTTACCCCCATCATCCTTACAACAAAAAATAGAGAGCAAAAAATAGTAACAAACAGTTAAGCTTTAAGTGACTTTGGTAACAATATAAAATAAATAAATAAATAAAAGCAATCATCTTTACCCTCATCGTCTTTGCCCGTCATCTTTACACCAGACTTTATCTCCATTGTGGAAAACCAGTAAGGAATGATGCAGATCCCGAAGGAATTATTACTATTCCTTTCCCTCAAGCTTCTTCTGCGCAATGTCTCAGTCGAGGTGCTCGACTACTCTCAAGCAGAAATCGTTACCATCGAGAATGGCATCGGAAAGGTGCAAACAGGTATCTACAGAATCCTCCATTACATCAACCTAACCGAATATTCCTGCATACTGGAAGACATAAATAGCCACTTCGTACAAAATATTCCACCTTCCCATCCTCTACACCCATTCATTGCAGAGGAAATAAAAATAACTAATTTTATTTTATGTTTGTAGGCTATTCTGATCTTTTCAGTTCTGGTGCGAATAAAACTACTTTATTCCACTTTTCACCCGACGTTTCGCTAAAACTTTTTTAGCATCCTCAGGGGTAGTGTTTATTTTATCTGTTACAACAAATATACAAAAATACAAAAAAACATACACATTAAGTATTAACCGAAAAAAACAAAAATGTATACATATATAACAACAAATTGAATTTAATGACAAACCAACTTACATTGTTTAGATATTCAAACATAGATATGTATATGTATAAATACTTAATCACTAAAAAAGAAAATATATCCATACCACTTGATGTGGTAGATTTGTCAGTACTGAAAATTTCATTTTTGTAAACAAGTTACAGAGAACGTATATTTATAGAGAAGGACCAAGAACTGTGAATGCCACATTTTTCGAGCCAACAAAACTGGCGAAGCGCATTTTAAGAGCGACAAATATTTGGAATACTTAACAGCGAAAGCAAAATACAAAGCAGAAAAGAAGAATATTAACAGAGCTAAATCTCACGAGAGCGTTTGGACTGTTAATTAAATATGAATATTGATGATTTTGTGATATTTTGGAAAGTGTTAGATTTTTTGTGAAAATAATTGTTTTAGTAAGAAAATTAAATTTTTTCGTTGATTTGTACAAGTAACATGCAATTAAATCGAAAATATTATATAACATTTTCCGATTTTTGTGATATTTTTTTAATGATTGCAAATAGAAAACTCAAGTGTTTGCGTTTTTTGTAAAAACATTTTTTGACAAAAAAAATCCTATTCCGGTTATTTCTACAAATATCGTGAAAATAAATCGAAAATGTTATATAGAATTTTTTTGATTTTTTTGATATTTTGTTAGATTTTCAACTTTAAAACTTTTTTGGTGTAAGCCTTTTTTGTAAATAGATTTGTAGGGAAAAAAATTTCTTTTCGGTGATTTGTACAAATAACGTTACAATAAATCGAGAATATTATATAACATTTTCCAATTTTTGTGATATTTTCAAGTAAAAAACTGTATTAGTATTGGATTTAAAAAAAAAATCATTTTAGATTTTTTTTAAGGTCTCTCGCTAAACTAGGCCGAAACTATTTGAGAATTTTTTCCAAATTTGCGATATTTATGGAAAAAGCGAAGTTTTTGAACCTTTTGGACTTAGAAATTTTTTGAATAAAAAAACAAAACTGTGAAAATAATTATTTTCCATTTTTTTGTAGAGATCTCCCTAAACTAAGTGGAAAGTCTCTATGATTTTTTTCCGTATTTATGGAAATAATTAAGTTTTTAATTATTTTCGACTGGGGAACTTTTTTTTTAAATACTAAAAATCTGTAAACGTCGGATTTTCCCAGCAATTAGCAAAAATCTTGCTAATCTAAGACGAAACTATTTGAGAAATTTTTCAATATTTTCTATATTTATGGAAATAATGCAGTTTTCAAATCTTTTCTAATAAAGTCGTGTAAGAAGTTGCCATTCGATGGGTGGCACCTTCGCTACTCATGTGCATATTGTCATTTACATATCTAATTTATTAATAACTAAACCTAAATTTATAAAGCGCATATTTGTAAACTTCATTTCATTACCTATTT